TCCCATCTTAGCTCTTTGTTACCTGGTCTTAGAAAGAGACCAGGTTAGGCAGGCAGGATCGGCCTTGCACGAACCCATGTTGGTTACCCCTCAACATCACTTCCCCTGCAAGGCTCTCACAAATGTGGCCCTTGATAATTTTTTCAAAGACCTTACCCAGGATAGAAGTGAGGCTGACTGGCCTGTACTTAAAGAAAAATGGTGAAAACCAACTGCTTTGAACTCTACTTGACCCTCAGGTGGGCTGCATAAACCAGTCTGATTAGGTTAGAGAGATAGAGGGAAATAAAGACCTTTGTGACTGATAAAAAGTCTGGCCCTGAAGTACAGAGTGAGATAAAGCAACTTGGGAGAAACCAGTGAATTTCACTTTCCGAAAATAGATTTATCTGCTAAGTTTGGTATACCTAGATTCTAAGAAGGCCAATGTGCCTGTAGGTTGGTTGTCTACAAAACCGGTTTGGTCCTGTTACACTTTCAGATTAAATAATACTTTGTTTTGAAGAGGCTGTTTGGGTTGTTGCACTGATACTTATTATAGTTCCTGAAGGAAAAACTTGCAGAAGCTTGAAACTATTCAGGCTTGCTGAGGAATCACAACTGATACATAGAGTACTACATACCAAAAGCAGATCTCAATAATACAAGAACTGCAAAATGCCACCTTAGTACAAGCGAACCGAAGAGGCCAAATGCTGAGCTAGCCACCCTTAGAGACCAGTGCAGAATTCAAATGTGTAACTAGTCCTAAATGGTGATGAAATAAACCCAAGGTTTTCAGCAGCACCCATCTGAAGATTCATGTTCTAGCTCAGGGAAAGCCTTCCTAGAAACCATGCCAGTTTCCATTTGATATGCCTTCCCCTTCCCATCTATTTTACCTTGTGCTCAAAACCATGTTTTATATACTGCTGTGTGCATCTCAAGTGTCCTATAAACAAACAATTGTATGCATTTAACTTTAATGAAAATCCTATGTAAATGTATATGCAAATGAGGCATGACCTTGAGGCCCCTGGCAAATTGCCAAAGCAGCTCTCCTTGTTATAAAGGCTGCATGCCATGCACCCTTTTTTATATCAATATATCATGACAACTACAAATCTTTACAATTCCTTTATCTTACCTTTCTATTCACAGTCCGCTGAATAAACAGACTTTTGGGGCTTTACAGGAAACTAAAATTTTCAGAACATTGCTATGATTGTTTTAAAGGCTTTTTGCAAGTGAAATTGTACTAAGTATACACTAAAGAAAATAAAGAATGAAATAGTTAGAGGTTACCTAATAAATGTTAAACACTTTTCTTTTATTGGTGCTAAAATATATTTTAAAAGTATACGAACACTCTACTTATTTTTTAAATAAAGAGAGCATCCTTAAGTAATTTCTCTAAACTTGTTTCACTTATTATTAAAATTCAAGTTTATACATTTTAACTAGGGGTGCACTAATAAAGATTTTTTGGGTTGATACCAATGGCAGATAATTAATGAGCCATATTGGCTGATACTGATCCACTTGCCAATATGCAGCCCAGCAGCCTGGAGAACAGCGTCTAGGTGGTAAGTCTGTTTGGGGGGAGGAGAGGGAAAGAGGTATGGTAGGGGACAGATCAAGGCTCCCATGGGAGACTGGGGCAGGCACTGTGCAGCTGGGGCAAGGCAGGGCAGGGTGGGGTGCGGCTGGAGCCCTGAGTGGCTCATCTAGGGGGCATGGGGAGAGGGCGGCGGCTCCCACTGCTGTGCGCACCCCCGGGGGAGGCATGGGAGGCGTGTGCCCCACAGATCTGTGCATGGGGCAAGGGTGTGCTGCTGCTACAGGCTGGGGCTAGGGGTGGTGCTGGGCTCTTTCAGGCTGGGGGAGGGGGGACAGCGGCGGCGCCGGGAGGGGTGCTATGTGGTGGGCTACAGCCACCCCAGAATTCGCTCTAGCCTCCTTCCAGTGCTGCAACAGCAGTAACAAGTCCAAAAAATGATGTGCATCATTAACAAAATGAGTGACCACTTACAAAGTGCTGCTAAAATAGAAAAATCTTCTCTCTCTATAATAATGTTAGGGATGATAACAATGGTAAATACAAAGCTGGATGAAAATTAATATGTGCTGACAATCTGACTTAATACAAACAGTTTTGCACTGTGTTCGTTCATTTTGTCATAGCATTCTTTTTAAAAGTGTATAACTGCTAAGTATGAAAGAGGCACATTTCTTACCATATATTTTTCTTGTGAAGAACACACTGCAAAAAAGATATTATGAAGTAAACTCAACTTCTGGAGCCTGTCTACCACATTTAAATACAAGTACTTTAAAGTGGTTAGTTTATAAAAATCACTGAAAGAGTCAGTTTAATAGTCTGGATAGTAGCAGGACTTTAATTGTTAGCAGTGCTGCTGCCATTCATTAACAAATAAATCCAGTATTGTTAACGGTATTTACAAAATGTTGCAGTTGTCAATAGCAGTAAGCCAAATTAAAAAATAATAATTAAAAAGATCTCAGGTGTATGTCATAACCTGTGAGTTGGCTCAAATAAGAAGCCTGAGCCCTAACAAATGAAAAAACTAGCATATGTTTCCCCAAAGGCCACAGCTGACATCTACCTTAACAAATAAAAGAGTAATTCAGGAAACTAACACAGACTGGATGCTTTCAAAACTGAAAGCTTTTGAAAGCGAAAATAAAACAACAAAAACTTAGAAATTGCTAAGAAAATATATCCTGTTTTTAAAACAATCATATATTAAACATCAGGCTTATCTTATGCAGGTTTCTTAAGAAACAGATCCTTAATATGACCCCTGAGTTTGCTCATGATGCTCAAAAACCACCAGAAATATATAATCACAAGAATCATATCTGGGATTTACAAATCATTCATAACTAGCGAGTAAAAGGCTTTCAGGTAGTACAGACTAATCACACAAGCTGGAACATTAGCAAAAAGGAATGTCATTTAACTGGAAGAAAAGTATCCTGAGCAAGCAATTTGCAAATTTATTTGTCAAACAACAAGAAAAAGATAAAAAACTGATAGATAAACATAGAGAAAATTAAATAAATTAAATGGTAAAGTCTCAAAATAATGTACAGTTTCAATCATGGAAATGATGCAATATACACACACAACTTTAAAACAAAATTTTAGATGCTTAATAAACAACATTAAATAAATACAAAGCTTTCAACAGCCAGAGAGAGGCTGTGAAGAAAAGAAAAAATAGCTATACCAACTGCTTAGAAAACAGGGAAAGGCTGATGCACTCTGGACCCACAGCTGGTGAGAAGAGGGGTCTAGATTTGTTCACCCTCTATAGCAACTACTGTATGCCTTAGCATCAACATTAAGTTCTACAGCATTAAGTTCTACAGCAAATCTTGCCATTGCAGAAAGAGGTAAGAGGCTGCTGTGGTTACTCTTCTAGTAGCAGAGCTCCCTGAATAGGCAAGAGAAGAGCTGAGTGTAACACCTTGGCTGTTCTGAAACTTTGATAAATAAGAAGGTAAAAATATAGGGAGCAAAGATCAGGACAGTGTGAGAGAGAAAAAATAAATGTTTACATTATGTGGATGGGGAAAAAGTAGAAGTGTTTGTGAAAGAAAAATTAAAATAAAGGACAGAAGATATGAAGCAAGGAAAACGCAACGGGCAGAAGGAAGCAAAGAATGTGAGTAGTAATGAATTAATCTAAACCAGCAGTTCTCAACCCACCCAGCCCTGTCGACCAGATGAGTGGAATCAGGCCAGTTCATGGGCTGGATCCGAGGCATGAGGTTAGTCCACAGACCTAATCCAGAGCAAAGTTGGCATGAGTGGTTGGTCACAGTTGCGATTCAGTAGGCTGGCCTGGCCCCAAGCACTGGATACAGCCGTGGCCTGACCCCCTGCATGAGCACAATCTGGTGTTCCATGCCAGGTCATCCAGTCCACAGCATTCCCCACAGGTCCAGAAGTTTGGCAGCATTTATTGCTGTGGCTGTAGGCTATAGGTTGAGCACCACTGCTCTGAAGAGTAGGGCTGCCATAGATGATGCAAAGCCATCACCTTTTCTATGGACCCCTATCCTTCACTTTGTCCCAAGGGCTTGAAACAGCTACATGAAAGAACCCAAATGAAGATGAAAGAGGACCAAGAGAAATGCATACAATAATGCCAATTAGAAATAAACAAAAGGTTCATCAGTTGCATGTGAAAGATAAATTGGACAATATACAAAGAGGGAGGAAATTCAAAAAGAATAGAAAATGAGAGCATCACAACTGAAACACTGAGTAAAATAATATGCATGGAAGCAAAAGCAAACAAAACACCACTGCAAAAACAAATTTAAAAAAATATCCAGAGTCCAATAAAACTAATTATTACTTATATGAGTATTTATTGCATTAAGTTAAAGGTATTACTCATATCTGTAAGGGTTGCTCAGTTTAGCACTAATGGAGTAACATCATTTTTCTACTCTTAGCAATTAGAGAATAAACTTGTTTATAAACAGCCACATCAGCATCTGAAGCAGTACTAGTAGCAGTAAGATTTCAACTAAAAACATTAAAAACAAATTTCTTAATCCCCTCTTTCACGGGGAGTAATTAAAATAACATTGTGGTTAGCAGCATATTTTAAAAGAAAGGCGATATCCAAGTAGATACTTCCTGTTATATAAAGTATTTGAACAAGACATACTAAATGTAAAGAATAATTTAATAAATAAACTTTATTAACTCTTCAAAGAAATTATATAAAAGAAAACATTCAATCAGAAAGTCTAAATTAATCCTCTATTTTACAAATTAAGCATATTGTAAAATAAATTTGATGCATGACATTCCAGTTAAATTATTCTTTTTAGAAATGTAAAGTTCTATATACAATTTTAATTTTAACAAGCTTAAAAATTAAAGACAAAGTTTAGCTTATACAGAAATATATACAATATATATATATATATATATATATATATACAGAAATGAAAGTCATAAACACACATAATTATACCTTATTATAACGCTCATGAGGAACAGACTGCAACACGATAGGTTCCATTGTAGAAACATTTGCAAACTGCACCTCGGGAATGTACAGGGCACAAACCACATGAGCCCAACCTACAAAAAGTTATAATTGCATTTTATTTTAGAGCATTTTGAAAACTCAAAATATTTAAAATATAGCAAAGAAAAGATTTTACATCACATTTTGCCACAGACTATTTTAAATATTCAGAACATTAAATATATGCTGTTTTTAACTTGATTCTTACCATAAGATAGGATGCAATGTAAAGACTGGGTGTAATACATTCTCAAACATCTACCTTTTCAAGCTGTGAAGAATGTATCCAAACAACCACCACGACTATCACCACACTGAAGATAATTATTTATCCATATAAATATTAGCACACCAAGTAGAAGAACAGATTATTTCTTAGGTTCTTTTAAACCAACAGGTTCAACACTGAAAATAAACTGTACAAAATCCCAAAACTGTAAAAATTTTGCAAAAAAAAGAATACTCTATGAAACAGCTAGAAGTCAAGCAAGCATAATCAACCATGTAATCACATTCTCACACATTTTTCAGGTTATCTATAGCTCACAACGTTCATTTTATTTCACTAGATTGTGGGTTCTTTCAAAAGACATTTTCCTGAAAACTTCTCTCTTCAAACAACATTTCTACCACAAGAAGAGTAAATTACTGTGTGATCAGTCTTTTCTCTTCCTTCTTAAGTCAAATATATAAATTCTGTCTTTCTCCTATTTCCATATTGACAACATCATTGCAAAACATCAGTTCGGGTTCGCTGATGACAATTTTGTCACTTACCATCTTTTTTTTAGTTCTATAACAACATTTCAAAGGAAGTCTGACTGTATATTTAAAGAAAAAAAAGACAATTCAACAATTTGTGCCAGCTAGAAAACAACTGTATTTGCTACACTTTCATCACAAGGGATCCTGGTTTTCTCTGTTCAAAAATCACAAGTTCACCAATTTAAATGCATACAACACCCCCGCCCAAGAACACACAAATTCTCTGATTAAAAACCCTCAAATCCAAAATTAAAATGAAACACGACTATATATATAGGTGTCGATTGAACAGAATGTTTTATTGGTATATTTACAATTTTAAATCAATTTGGAAGCCTACCAATGCCTCAATCACTATACTAAAGATACATTTTAAGTGCCTATAAATTTGGTATTTGATTTTAGGTTTTTTATCATGGAAAATCAGACCTCCCTGGGACACAGGTCCAGGCCCCTCACTCCCCCCTACAGCCCCCCCACAGCCCTGTTGGACAGGGCCCCCAGCTGCCAGAGCTGAGGCCAGGGACCCGGGTCCACAGCCCCTGGACCCCTGCAGCCTAAGCCCTGTCCAAGCCCCAGCTGCCACCCACAGAAGGCAGTAGCTGAGCCCTCAACAGGCAGCCCGCCCCCACCTGGCGCACAAATCAGGGGGGCACGTGCCCCCTCTGCTCCCCACCCGTGAGTGTGTAAAGCAGCAGGGAGCCAACTCCACCCCACCCCCCACCTACCTGACAAGGCATCCACAGCTCTGCCCAACTCCCCACTGGAGTCCTACAGCTGTGCATTCTAGGCCTGGGCTCCAAGTCCCACTCACCGCCCAGCTACGCAGAAGCCCTTGTCCTAGCCCTACCCAACTCCTTCCCTATGGGGGCCTCAATCCCTCCTTCCCCCCCCCACCAGACTTACTTGCAGGAGCTGCTCTCCAGGCTGCCAGGCAGCCATGTGTATGTGTGAGCATGTACATGCACATGGCACCCCATCCCTGACCACCCTTCTTCTGCTCCCCACATCCCCTTGCAGGCTGGAACTCTGCCAGCCTGCAGAGCGCTCTTTGCAAAAGTGGAAAATCCACATTTCTCGCTTAAAAGTGGGAAATCCGTGTTTTTTTCCATTTTTCCGCAGGAAACAAAAAACCCGGATCCCTGTTCATCACCAATTTCTCATCTTGAAAAAGAGTTTCCCCAAAAACCACTCATATTTTATCCCAGATTAAATAGAATCTTCTGTCCAATTAAATTAATAAGAACATTTTATTAATATAAAAAGTAACAATATAAACAGTAAAAAGTCTTCAAGTGCAAAGATAATGCAATTCAAAAAGAACTTGGTACAGCTAATTCTTTACAATGTCTCCCTACACCATATAACAGAAATTATTTTGAGGCAACTCAGTGTATTATTTTGTCACAAGACTATGATTATGTATGGGTTTCTCCTTAAAAAACCCAATGCTGCTCCAAAATAGGCCAATTAAGATAGACTTGCAAAATATATATATTTTTTATCTTAAGGCTATACAGTGTATGGCCTATATACATTCTTAAGAGTCTCACTTTTATCAGATCATGCTATTGCACCATCCCACTATAACTTACTATATAGTAGCGTCTATTCATTTTGTCAGTATTGCTGATTTTAGGATGGTATGAAAGTAAAGGAAGCATATCACAGAAGATAGTTTTTGCTTTTCAACCAATTCTACTTATAACCAGAAAAAACCCAGCGCACACTGCTTTCTGGTTCTCTAGGAATCTTCAACCAGAGTTTTGAATTCTCTACAAAAAGTAAAGTAACGTTATCCACAATGACTGCAACGTAATAGGTGTAACCATAAGTCACAAGCCACGTTGTTATTCCAGAGAAGTTTAAATGTAGTCCAACAGCTGCATGCAGCTCTTTTCCTCCACCCTGTGAAGATCAGTTGACAAACTTAGATCTTGTTATACCTGTGGAGAGCCCATCCAAAGAAGAATTTTGCTTACAATTAAATACAGTGCTTTATGTTATTTTAGGTTATCTTAATGGTCATTCTGCTCTTAAATCTAAATACCCAACTCAACACATGCTACAGAACTTTTACAACAATTCCTGTGGCCAGCCACGATTTTTGAGTGATTCAGGAGTAAAACATTTTTTAGGAAACATTAAATGTTAATTTAAAGAATAAGAGGCTTCCTGACTGAATTCTGGGGAAGTATACTGTGGTACCCAAAAGCTTGCCTATGTCTACAGCAACTATTTTATTGGTCCTGTAAAAGATAATCACCCACAAGAATACTTGCCTTTCATCTATCTCCAGGACCATCAGGGCAACACCATCACCCAAACATTACTAAAGCTGGATCATTCTATATAGCATCTTGAAATGTTGGCAAAAACATTAACTTCTTTCCTAAACTACCCAGTGTTTCAAGACTGAAATTTATCAACAGCAAGTGTGGCAGATCTTAAGCTATTTTTTTAAATTATTGGTTACAAATTTTCCAGTCCCACAGACTTGGTAACATTCAACTTTACTAGGTGATGTTTAACTTCCTGCCTAGTTTCTGTTTGAAAATACATTTCATTATCATTAACAGTTGTGAATACTTCAGTCAGCTTCCTTTTCAGAAGAGAACAGAAATATTTACTGAATGCTTCTGTTGGTTGTTGTTTTTTTTAAATAACTATATTGTCCTCATTCAGTAAAATACTGCCATTGTTACCTGGGTTTCTTTTCTGCTAAAGATTTTACAAAATCCCTTCATAAGCCAAATCATGTTCTTACTAGAACCAATAAAAACTTCTGTTGATTTCAGTGATGCAGGATTTGCCCCACTACCCTTCATCTTAGGGCCCATAGACCTTTTTTTTTTTTTTTAATATGGGTTTTACCTTCTCTTATGAATTGCAAAAAAAATCATCTCCCTTTAATTAAAAATTAAGGGGGAGCAGAGGGCAAGGAGGCTACCTGACTCACCTCCCCCCTAAATTATTTTCCCTTATCTCCCTTTGGAGATAAATTATTTTCCCTGCTGTATCAGTGGGGGAGGGGGCAAACTCAAGGCAAACCTCCAATGTGCCTGGAAAATAATAACAAATGTATACATGTTCCATATACAGAATCTAATTATTGGGGTGTCATCTTATACCAGAATAAATATGGCAACTTGGCTACTACCAGCAAAACCATCACACCAACTGTAATTCAAAAATTTTATTTTCAGAAACACTTCATGGTTTGTGAGTAGAAAGGAATGTTGCTTTCTTTTCAAACCTTTCTGAGCTAAGGAGAAAATACAGTAATTTGGGTGCTTACATTTCTTTTTCTCCTTTCAATTTCCTTTTAGACAACTCCAACTGGCATTGAATGTTAAACTATGATGTTCCCCTATTGCAAACTGCTACCTAAGTCAGTTTATGTACTGCTATTAGAAATCAAAATTTCAAATTGATAAAGTTTTCATACCTTTAGAATTTTAAGAAAAAAGCATGCTCCTTGAATCTTTCAGTTATTCATTTACATATGAATACAGGCTTTAAAAATGTTAGACATAAAAGCAAGAAAAAAATTTGTTTTTAGAACTTTGTTTCTTTTGTCAGGAATGTAAGCTTCTAAACATAAGTACCAGGACACAAATCTCTCCAAATGTTAATACGTCTTTCCTGAAACTTGGATTTCAGCTGTCTAAAGTATTAACTCAGTGAAAAGCAATGTAGGACCACAGGAAAGTAGGGCTGGAAGGGACCTCATACAGCACGGGCGGGCAACTATTTTGGGCGGAGGACTGAGTTTTAGCAAGCCATCGAGGGCTGCATGACAGGCAGCCCAGGGCAGATAAATATTAATTTTCTAAATTCTTTAGGGACCCCGCGGGCCGGATACAATAGCTTGGGAGGCCGCATCTGGCCTGCGGGCCTCATTTTACCCACCCCTGTCATACAGCCATCTAGTCGAGCCCCCTGTTCAAGGTAGAATTATTCCTGGCAAAACTATCCCAATTTGAAAATTTCCAGGGATGGAGATCCCACAATTTCTATAGGTAGCCTGGTCCATGGCTTGACCACCCTCAAAGTTCTTCCTAATCTCCAACCTAAATTTCCTCTGCTATAAAGCTAAGGCAATTGCTCCTAATTCTGTGCCCCACAGCTTTAGACAACAGACTACCGCTATCCTCTATAATCACCCTGTAGGTATTTGAAGATTTATCAAATCTCCCCTCACTTTTCTTCTCCAAACTAAAACAAGGTTAGTTCTTGCAACCCTTTGCCGTAAGTCATACTACCCAAGCCCCTAATCACTTTTGTC